AGCCGATCGTCCCTTGACACTTTCGACTTGCGAGCAACGTTCCTCTATTGAACGCCTCCACGTGGTTCAAACTTTGTTGACCAAAAGCAACCTAGTTCCTGGCCTCTACAGCCGTATTACACCGGCAATTGGATACTCTAGAAGTAGCATAAATACCAATTAATGATTCAGTTATATATATATGCTTCCACTGGTTGATCTGTGTTACCAGATCTTCTTTGAACTTGTCGCAAGGATTTGTTGCCACTCCTTGGTCCACCCAATAATTACGCTGATAATTCCACACACTCCCTGAATTCTTGCCTTCCTTCAAAGGGCGGTCAGCCGACACTACTACCAAGTCAAGTGGACCTCCCGGAGGACCATCTGCCTGGGACTCCTGTTGTCGGATGTCCCGGCCCCAAATCTTGATCCACGAAAACCTTCCCAATCCCGTCTCATCAGTCCCATTTGATTTTGCTCGTTGTGCAACCTTGTGAATCAGAGATGCCGAGCATCCGCCCCACTGAAGGTAGTGAGGATCGCCTGGTCCAGGCTCTTCTTACCGGTACCCTTTGTGTTGTGAGCGACGGCTCGTACAAAGCTAAAGTGGGCACAGCATGCGCTCAAATTCTCACCGAGGATCGCAGGGACATCATCTGGATCACCTGCCAAACCCCGGGGAAAGTTGAGGATCAGAGTTCAACACACAGCGAATTTATTGGCCTTATGGCTTCTCTCTTGGTGTTGGAATGGATGGTTCAGATTGCTCAACTGAAACTCTTTGCCAGCCAACCCTCGGTGGGGATGGCCTGCGACAGTCTTGTTGCCCTGGATAAGTCCTTCTCAGGAGCCCAGCTGTCCTTGTCTGGCGCGCAGTTTGACTTGGCCTCCACCATCCGGGCCTTGCTTCGCCACCTTCCTCTCCAAGTTCATTGGCGTCATGTCAAGGGTCACCTAGATAAGCAGCGTCCTTTCTCTCAACTGGACTGGTGGGAGCAGCGCAATGTTGAAGTCGACTCCAAAGCACAAGCCTACCGCCGCCTGCTGGAGTCTACAGGCAAATCTGCTGCCTCCAACCCCCGCTTCTTCCATGAACCTGTGGCTTTATTCATTGATGGCATCAAGTCGTCCTGACTGGATAAGGCTTGTTAGAATAAAGCAAAATGTGCTCTATCGTGAGTGCCTTTAGCGCTCAGAACAAACTATCTGCAATCTAAATTTGTAATCAACTGTACAACACTTTCACCACAATAGTTCTCCTGTGTCTAGGTATACTTTGAGGGAATTGTTCCTATTTGATTAATGTTTGGCTTGAATTGATGATTCAATCACAAAAGTGAGTTCGACGATTTTCCCTTGGAAAATTCCTTGTTTATAGAACTCGATTCGACTTCTACGACAATTCTGTGTTGAATGCAGTACTTTGGGACATCTTGCATTATTCCCTACTGCATCGTACACCACCTCAATATTCCACTTGTACAGGATCTTTTCCTGTTTGTGTGGATACAGATTGTCCGACAGACTTGCGTCTAGCAGACTTGCGTCGAATCCCGACATCACGATCAAAGTCCAATCGTACGTGTGATACGTTGGTGAAAAACCAAAAATGAACTGGTCCATGTTTGAACGAATGCTAAAGAAAACGTATGCAGCATGCGACAAACATGTTAGAACAAAGCAAAATGTGCTCTATCGTGAGTGCCTTTAGCGCTCAGAACAAACTCTCTGCAATCTAAATTTGTAATTGATTGTACAACACTTTCACGACAATAGTTCTCCTGTGTCTAGGTATACTTTGAGT